GGGAAAGAGCTTTCTAGGCAAGGAAAATGCCTGGCATGTTTGTGGAACGGCCAGTAGAGCACAGTAAGAAAGGGGGAAATGGAGGTGTTAATGGAACAAGATGAAAGTCACACAAGAAATAAACACTTCCATGTAAGAACATAAAAATAGGGACTTTGCTGGTGGTGCAGCAGTTAAGAATCCGCCTGCCAATGCAGGGAACACAGATTCAAGCCCTGGTCCAGTAAGATCCCACATGCCACCGAGCAGCTAAGCCCGCGAACCACAACTACTGAGCCTGTGTGCCACAACTACTGAAGCCCACGTACCTAGAGCCCAAGCGCCACGACAAGAGAAGCCACTGCAACGAGAAGCCCACGCACTGCAATGAAAAAAAAGAAATAAAGTCTTTTAAAAAAAACAGAAAGAACATAAAAATATGAAGATTAAGTCTCCTTTTTCTACAAGTTACAAAGAAAGAACTAAATTATGTGTTTTTTACTTTTCTTTTTCCAAACTACATTATGCCCACAACACCTAAGTACATTAAGCCTAAAAGCCCTTCAATAAATATATGTTGGTTGATTAGAATTTACCGTGTCAGTGAACTTCACACACCTGTCCTAAGTGGAAACTTTCATTTCTGCTTCTGAAACATTAGGAAAGATTCTGCTGAAAGGACCCTTGATGAAGAGACAGTAAAAAAGACTTGCAAAGTGGAGGTGGATTGAAGGCTTTCTCATTCTGCACTCTTAACTTTTCAAAAGAATACTGTCACTAAAACTTAAAAAGATGTTTTTAAAGTCATTGGTGGAAAATGTTACCATGTATATGAAGTGTAATGATAAAGTAATATAAGAAATATTTATTTAAAGAAGTGTTCAAGAAAGCAGTCTCCTTAAGAACCTAGACACTAAGATCCTCTCCTTGACCAAACTCTAGCCAGGTTCTTCTGAGGCCTCTTCTCAACAGGGCCTCAGCTCTAGCATATAGAGACTAACATAGTTTACAACAGCTCAAAGCCGCATCCTTGGAATGAGCCCAACTTCCCTTAAAGTGCCTATCTGAAAAAACTCAAGGCTGCCAAAAAATTTTAGTGTTAGTTCCAGCTAACAAATGAAGATAGAGTCCCTATCTTCTAGTCTTTGTGGAAGGACTGGAGACTAAATTTGATAAGCAGCGGTTAACGAAAGCAGAGGGATTTCACTTGCCTAACAGCTGCTTCTTAATTTTTATAATCTTTCATTTCCCTGACTCTACTGGTCCCCTAGTCATCCCCCCACCCCCATTCTCTCATTCTCCTTTTAAAACATGAGATCACCTATGTAAAAATCGAAGTTGATTTGAACATTTCCCTATTGCAACAGTATATCATTGATTAAAAGTTAAATGTTGACAGGTGTCCAGTTTTGTATTCACACTGGACTTCTCCCCAGTGAAATACTAAATTACTGATAAAAGTTAAAATTTAACAAGTGTATGGCTTTTTTTGTCTATGACAACACTGAAATCAATAATTCTGCTATGTGTCCAGGTTTTTTTTCTTCATTGGAACTACCTTAAGAGATTCATTTGCATATGCTGTTACTTCCAAACATCTCATTTCTTTCTTATTCTAAATAGTGTAAATGATATTCATTCTGTCCTAGGCAAGATAGGAAATTTAGAGGCAATATGAGAAAAGATAAACATATTTGATTACATAAAACATAAACATTTTCAGATGGCAAGAGATAAAATTTTTAAAGTTTAAAAAACAATGAATATTTGCCACTAAAATGACAGACAAGATGGTGGTTTATATCACAAACATACAAAGAACTCTACAAATGGATAAGAAGAGGTAAAAAACTCAATATAAATACAGACAAAGTACATAATTAGGTAAATCACAAAAGAGAAGGAAAGTGCCATTGGTCAAAAAGACAAGATGAAGAAATTCTCAACTCCAGTCGTAGTTTAAATGAATGTAACTGCAAACAAGGAGATACCAGTTTTCATCAATCATATTGGGGGAAACTAATAAGAATAATAACATCTTAATGCAGAAAAAAAGGTGGAGTAGACATAGATCTAAGGTACTGACTTTGTTGGTGGGGGTGTGAATGACTAAAACCTTTTAACAACAATTATTTATTAAGATACATAAAAAGATAATATTGGGTTGGCCAAAAAGTTCATTTGGGTTTTTCCGTAAGATGGTATGGAAAAAAACTGAATGAACTTTTTGGCCAACCCAATATTTAATTTATAAATCCCATGTTTGGAAATCTACAGAGATAAAATAATTAGTCATAAAGGTATATGTACCAGGATGCTTACTGCAACATTGTTTGTAGTGGGGGGGGGGGAACAGGTGTAAAATACTAGCAGACATAAGGGAGACATTCACTGGAATACAAAAATATTGGGGAATTAAACACCAATATCACATCAATGGACAGATCTCCAGACAGAAAATCAATGTAGAAACACTGTTCTTAAACAACACAGTAAACCGGTTTGACTTAATAGATATATAAAGAAAATTGCATTCAAAACAGCAGAATACACATTCTTTTCAAGTACACCAGGAACATTCTCCAGGATAGATCACATGATAGTCCACAAAATAAGTCTCAGTAAAGTTTAAAAGATTGAAATCATGTCAAACATCTTTTCCAACCACAACACTATGAGACTAGAAATCAACTACAAGAAACAAAAAAGTGCAAAAAACACAGTACAAACATGTGGCGGCTAAACAATATGCTGCTGAACAACCAATGGGTCACTGAAGAAATCAAAGAGGAAATCAAGAAATACCTGAAGACAAATGAGAAAACAAAAACGCAATGACCCAAAAGATATTGGACCCAGCAAAAGCCGTTGTAAGAGGGAAGTTTATAGCAATAGAAGCCCACCTCAGGAAACAAGAAAATTCTCTAATAAACAACATAATCTTACACTTAAGGGAACTACTAAAAGAACAAACAAATCCAAAGTTACTAGAAGGAAAGAATCATAAATAACAGAGCAGAATTAAATAAATAGAAACTAAAAAACAACAGAAACTACTAGTGAAACTAAGAGCTGGTTTGTTGAAAAGATAAAACAAAATTGATAAACCTTGAGCCAGACTCATCAAGAAAAAGAAGAGAGAGGGCCCAAATAAATAAAATCAGAAATGAAAAAGGAGAGGATACAACCAATGCCACACAAATACAAAGCCTCGTAAGACAGTACTATGAACAATTATATGCCAATTAAATGGACAACCTAGAAGAAATGGACAAAGTCCTAAGAATGTGAAATATCCAAAGGCTGAATCAGGAAGAAATAGAAAATATGAACAAACCAATTACCAATAATGAAATTAAATCAGTAATCAAAACACTCCCAACAAACAAAAGTACAGGATCAGATAATGTCACAGGTGAATTCTACCAAATGTTTAGGGAAGAGTTAATATCTACCATTCTCAAACTATTCTAAAAAATTGCAGAGGAAGGAACACCTCCAAATTCATTCTATGAGGCCAGCATCACGCTGACACTAAAACCAGGCAAAGATATCACACACAAAAAGAAAATTACAGGCTAATGTCACTGATGAACACAGATGCAAAAATCCTCAACAAAATATGAGCAAACTGAATCCAAAAATACTTTAAAAGGATCATACAACAAGACCAAGTGGGATTTA